TATGATTTTTCGTTGTTAATTTAGTTTGTTGTGGCCATCAGTGTTAATAATGCAATAGACGTGGAGGAAAACCCTGAAAACGGAACAGGAAACGAAGTGAAAGAAACAAACTTTTAATTGAAATAAAATACTCGTTTCATGGCCATTTAGGCGTATGATGAATATTTTATGCACCACAACACACCCGCACACATTATCATGGCGTATGAATAATGCCAGCGAAATCATACACCAACCAACACCCCCAGTCTCAAACTGGCCACACAACAGAAGCTGAACATGATTTACAACAACGAATCTCAAAAGTTGATATGGCAACGAAGGAGCAATGTGACTAGTTAAAATGTGTGTGTTTCTGTGTGTGTGTGAGAGAGAGAGTTTTTTTTATCATTACAAACATACATACATAAAATATACGGTTATATCTACCTTATGCAGCATTTGTTTAATTTGGTCAAATTAAAGGGAAATGTGTGAATGATGGTAGGTCCATACAGGTGACTCTGCATTCTTGGAATAACGTATACGCATTTACAAAAGGTATTCCATTTTCTCGTTTATATGGACAATCTAATATTATTTGAAATTCATGGAAATGTTTTTTAGTTGTTAGACAATTTATCCTCTCAACTAGCAATTAAATTCCATGATTACACAAGTTAGTTTTGTTTTGCCCTGAGGCGAAACATATATTCTAAAGAATCGACAATTTGTTATAATAACCTATATTTCAGTTATACGACATTTTTCCGAAACAGGGGGAGTAGTGTAGCATAAACTGGTCTACACAAAATAAATTCCAGGTATTTTATGGAACATATATTTATTTGGCTAACACTAAGGCGGGAAATACTGTATCTACTTCCACGCTTGCTGAGTTCATCCTTCTTTTGTGATTGTGCTAATTAAATTTTGAATAATATAATAACAATATATGCAGACTGTATTAAATACACAGAAAATCAAATACACATATACATAGACAAAAACATATATAAACACATGCATGTATTTCACATGATAATAAACAAATATTGGCTTAATTTCGTCGCATACAAATATTTTATGCCCTGCACTGTAGGTCACATATTTTGTATGGTTGAAATCAGAAGCCATAAAAAAGAGGCTGCAAAATTGTAGATGATTTTTTATACCCTCCGCCATAGTATGAATGGTATATTAAGTTTGTCATTCCGTTTGTAATACCTCGAAATATACATTTTAGACCCCAGAAAGTATATATATTCTTGATTAGCATAAAATACTATGTCGATTTATCAATATCTGTTGAAATCACTCTAGCTTCCGAACGAAATGAAGTAGGTTGATAAAATTTTACTCAAATGTGTATTATGTATGCAGGACTTTTGGTATTGAAAATGGGCCATATGATCCACGTCTTCGTATAGCCCCCATATAACGGTACCTCCCGTTATGCGGTATTTTAATGATTTTAGCGACATTATTTACCAGAATTGTTTCAAAATTAATATTTATAGTTTGTAATAGATACTACAGCATAAAACAAAAAATGGGCCATGTAAGTCAACTTCTTCGTATAGTCCCCATACAACGGTACCCCCCTATATTCGGTATTTTGATGATTTTAGCGACATTATTCACCGGAATTGTTTAAAATTTGGTATTTGGAGTTCGAAATGGATTCTACAGCCTATGATAGAAAATTGTCTGTGCAAGTCCACGTCTTATAGCCGTCGTATAGCCTACATATACCGGTACCCCCCGATATTCGGTATTTTTGATGATTGTAGCGACATTATTTACCGGAACTATTTCAAATTTGGTATTTGATGTTCGTAGTGGATACTACAGCATAAGACAGAAAATGCGCCATGTAGTTCCACGTCTTCGTATAGCCATCGTATAACGGTACCCCCCGATAGTGACATTTTTCTGGTCAAGCGTAAAATTAGTTCAATAAAATCTGAGGTTTCGATCTAAATACCTAAAATTTGGAGGAGTAGGGTCGACGTAAGGAGGTAATTTTGGAAGTGTGTATTCATGTATACGAATAGTACTAAACGGTACTAAATTTGGTACAATTTGAATTTGGAGGTACGGATGGAGCTGGAATCCCGAAATTTGAAAATAACATTACTGGCGCAGTGTGGATTCTGATATGAAGGTAGTTTTCGAAATTTTGACTTATGTGCACGAAAAGTACTAAATGGTACTGAATTTGTTATAGTTTCGATTTGAGCTGGAATATTGATATTTGTAAATAACATTACTATTGCATTGTAGGATTGAGGTATGTAGTAAGTTTTAAGTTTTAGTAAATGGTACTTAATTTGGTTCAATTTATATTTTCTCGGTGAACCAATGGAGGTGGAGTCCTGAAATTTAGATTCGGGATTGCTGTGGGAGAGTAGGATTAAGGTATATATGAAGCTTTGTACATTCGCACTTATGTGTGTCAAATGTTACTAAATTTGGTACAAATTGGAATTGTGGTGAACCGATAGATATGGAATTCTGAAATTTGGAAAGATGATTTTTATTGGATTGTATTTTTGGGGTACGGAGGTAGTTTTGGAAATGTGGAGTGTAGGAAATACGTATTTATGTGCACTAAATTTGGTACAATTGGGATTTGTGTGAAAAGATAGGGCTGTAATCCTGAAATTCAGAATTAAGATTACTGTTGGAGGATAGGATTGGGTTTTATGTCGGATCTTTTGGAAATGTGTACTTAAGTGTACTAAATAATACTATATTTGGTATAATTTGGTATTGGGTGAACAGATAGTGATTGATAGTGAAATCTGAAATTTGGTATTAGGGTTTGCTGTTCATGTGTAGCCTGGACATATGGAGGTGTTTTTAGAGATGTGTACTATAGTTGTACGAAAAGTACTGCACGGTACTATATTTGGTGTTGGGTCAAGGGATAAATATAAAATATTGAAATTTGATATTTAGATCACTGATGGAGATTTGGTGGTGCTTTCTACGAAAAGTAGTATATGGTACCAAATTTGTTATTGAATGAAGGAATAGAGCTGGAATCATCAAATTGGATATTAAGGTCTCTGTTGGTATTTGGAATTAGAATATGGACGTGGTTTTGGAAATGTGTACTACATGTACATGAAAAGCACCATATTTGGTACAATTTGGTATTGGGTGAACAGATTGTTCTTGGATGAAAGAATAGAACCGAAATCCTGAAATTTGATATGTATACTATCACAGATGGTGTCAGTGTTTAAGATAGGGAGGGGGTTTTGTAAATGTGTGCCATAATTGTACTAAAAAGTACTATGAGGTACGAAATTGGTCATTGGATGAAGGCATAGAGCTGGAATCCCGAAATATTGATATTGAGATATCTGAGATTGCAATTTGAAGATTGTTGTGAAAAGGCGTACTTTTAACTGTACGAAATCCTGAAATTTTATATTGATGTAGCTGTTGGTGTCTGTGTCTGAGAGAAGGAGGTGGTTTTAGAAATGCATACTATAAACGTACGAAATGTGCAAAATTCCACAAAATGTGGTTTTTGGGATAGAGAAGGAATTCTAAAATTTCCAAATATGACACAAAGAATTCGTGTCCAAAGTGCAGCAGAGGTTGGGGTAGCTTTTGAGAAATATAGCACTCTTCAGCACCCATAAGAACTGTTTGGATCATATCAACTTCCAGGCTGGCCCTATCCCACCAGTTTGTCTATATCGAATCTCTGGCTCTTAAGTTCCTCTATATCTACTAGCTGGGCCTTCAGTCCGTCTATACATAGACGATGGTCCTTCAGCTCCTCTTAACATTAACTCCCTGCGGTTTCTCTCTATACCCAATTTTTGCCATTCAGCAAGTTTTCATACCAGCTTGTTGTTTTTCCACCCCGGCCCTTTAGGTCGACTCTATAGAATCCCAGATATTTCAGCTTTCCAAAAAAAGGAAAACTTGAAGAAGATCTAAAACCTTGGAATTCTGCAAATTTAGTACAATGTATGAAGTTTAGAATAAAAATGTTTGTCAAACTGAAGAAATTATGCATTTTGAGCACTAATAAGCCTTACACGAGCTGTTGGAAGGAATCTAAAATTCTAAGGTGGATTTTTCGCTGACAAGCTAACGCGCTCTTTGTAATATTAATAACAGACATAGGACAGACACAAAATGGCCCATTTCTTCGGTCAAAATTGCCTTTTTGTAGAGGTGTTACCAAGAGGGAGTAGACTGATTTTGTCCTTCTCCTTCTAAAAAGAGTACGATGTACCAAGTTTAGACCATATAATTTCGTGAGCTATTACGTTCACAAATAGACAGACAGATAAACTAACTAAGACTACGTTGCTAAATCGACTCCAAATATTCTGAAATGGATTTCGTTCAAAGAGGCCTAGGGTGTAAAACTGTTGCTTTGATGAGACACATTTTGACCATATAAATGATAAAATACCCTCTGTAGCAATATGAATAAGTTCTAATTATAGAAGTATTTAACACCAATCGTAAATTCCCATTTATTAATCTTTAAATTTGCCTCAAATTTATTTCATCTCTTCTTCCTTCGAAAATTTAATATTAATCTCTCTGCAATTATTGCGGGGCTTTGTTAGATAATTTGTGGTAAAACTTCCAAAACACAAGTCTCAAAACATTATGGATTTTTGGGCTTAGATGTGAGATTGTATATGACATTGTGTGATGTTTGGTTTTAACCACAACAACAAAAGCAAAAGCAACAACAACGTCGGTCGCCACATAATAAACCTCCCAACAACTTTTACCACACAATACCGACAAAATAAAAAAAATAAAATTATCTTTGCCAAACAAATGACAGTTAAAATGAAATTAAATTACCTGACGACCCTCACCTTCTCTACCGCCACCGCCACCGTCAAGTGTTCCTTGCCATCAATTATAATTACCCATGTTTTCCACACTAGAAATAAACTCATTAAATTTTTATTTCTTCTTTATTTTCTTCTCGGTTCTCATTGCTCGGCTTAATTCGTCGGCTGCTGCAGCACTCAAAGTGAAATTGATGGTGCGAAGACCCCACTCCCAGCTGGTGGAACAAGGCATCATACCACGTAAGTAACAACCAAAAAAAAAAAAAAAAATACAAATATAAATAAAAGCTTTATGATGATTGTTGGAAATTAAACAAAAAACCAGTAAAGAAAGTCTTAAAGTCGGGCGAGGCCGATTTTATGATACCCTACACCACTTTGCTAATTTAGTAGAGCTCCACATAACAATTAAAAGTTTTTATGGGAGAATTCGATCATACACTCTATGATTATAATTATAATTTAAAGTTCAAAGGACTAAATATGCCGAAGCATTTGTATCTTTTGAATTCGGACTTGTATTGCCCAATTGGTGCACTATTAATTTGAAATCGGAAAAAGATATATATGGGAGCTACATCCAAATCGGAACCGATCTCGATAAAATGTGGCAAAGATATTTCTGAGCTGTATTTGATATGTATCCCTGAATATCGTTGTTACGGAGTGCATATTACGACTGTGGGTAACAAATATAACAAATCGGATGAACAATATATATGGGAGCTATAGCTATACCTGAACCGATCTTCACCAAATTTGGCATACTAGCTTCTAAACTCAATTCGGTCGCATGTGCCAAATTCCATCCCATTCGGGCAAATATTAGACCTTTGGTGCACAATAAAAGGTAAATCGGACGAAGTTATATATGGGAGCTATATCCAAATCTGAACCGATATTGATAAAATTTGGCAAAGATATTTCGGAGCTGTATTTCATATATTTCCCTAAATATCGTTGTTCCAGAGTGCATATTACGGCTGCAGAGGACAAAAATTACAAATCGGATGAACAGTATATATGGGAGCTATAGCTATATCTGAACCGATCTTCACCATATTTGACATACTAGCTTCTAGACTCAATTCGGTCGTAAGTGCCAAATTTCATCCAATTTGGACAAATATTAGACGTTTGGTGCACAATTAAAGGTAAATCGGACGAAGTTATATAAGGGAGCTATATCCAAATCTGAACCGATCTCGATAAAATTTTGCAAATGTATTTCTGAGCTGTTTTTGATATATTTCCCTGAATATCGTTGTTACAGAGTGCATATTACGGCTGTGGGTAACAAATATAACAAATCGGATGAACAGTATATATGGGAGCTATAGCTATATCTGAACCGATCTACATCAAATTTGGCATGCATATTTTCGGGCCTAATTTGGGTGTATATGCAAAATTCCATACAATTCGGGCTGATATTACACGCTTGGTGCACAATAAAACGCAAATCGGACGAAGATATATATGGGAGCTATATCTAAATTTTGACCGATTATCTCCAATTTCAATAGGGTTCGTCCTTGGGCCAAACAAAAGATCTTTGCAAAATTTCATCTGGATCGGGCAATAAATGCGACCTGTACTTTGTTTACAAAAATACATGGATAGACGGACAGACGGACGGACGGACGGACAGACGGACGGACGGACAGACGGACGGACGGACATGCATAAATCGACTCAGAATGTGATTCTATGCAGATCATCAAAAGGAACTATGGGTCTATCTTGTTTCCTTCTGCCTGTTACAAACAAATGCACAAAGACATAATACCCTGACCACCTTGTGGTGTAGGGTATAAAAAACAAGTAATAGGTAAGGATATTTTAAGTTCATCTGGTGGGAGAAATTTTTATGTACTCAAATATGGCAGAACTTTATTTACATATGAGAACTGAAGCTGTAAAGTGGGGAAGAGACCACAAATTTTTCACCCCAAATTGGAGCCCTGATTTAGAATTTATTATGTCATATTTTGAAATATTATAATGCATATAGTCCTCCCGATTTTAGATATCTCTTTGCCAAGAACTGCTGATTTTTAGCTCTACTTTGAGAAAGTACTGGATTTTGCGTGCGATTATTGAAAAACTCGAATTTTGTCGCACAGTGTTATTTACCTTCGATGTCTAAAGCAAGACATTGGTTATTTTGGACCGATCCGGATGATATGAGAATCTTGACCGATCTAAAATAACCGGAGTATTGCTAGAGGTTTAAAAGGGTACACTGTGGGACATTTTTTTTTCTTTTTTTATTCTCCATAGTACAGGCAAAATCCAGCAGATTCTGAAAGTAGAGCTAAAAATAGAATAATAGAATAGTTCGCATCGCAAAGTAACCTAAATAGAGGAGGAAAGTTCCCCCCTTTACAACATGTTTTGGTATTTTCGACTTAAGATTCCCTAGAATCCTTACATATCGATATGTAATGATTTTAAGGAGATGAAAAAACTGCAACCAACTTCATACTGCTGTCATTTCTCCAATGAGAAAACATTCGTTGTCAGGCAGTTAAACCAACAAAATTATCGTGTTTACTTGCCAAAGAGGTCACCTGAAAATATGCACCTTCGGTTGTCCACCAGAACTCAAGCGCCGACCATGGTGATGGTGTGGGCCGCCATAACAGCCGATGTTCGCTCTCTGATCGCATTAATCGACCGTGGCATCAGAATAAATGCCGAATATTATCGCGAAAATATTCTGGAGGGTGTTAAAGCCTTGGACACGCAAACATTTTGGCCGCAGACTTTGGACACTCCAACAGGATTTAGCACCATCGCTGGTAAAATTATTCTAGTGACATCTCATTATATTGTTTACAGTGTACAAAAGCATTTTGGTGAAAATTCTCCAGAGAAAAAGTTATTCGTGATGGAATTCAAGCGTGATAGTGTGATTTCTTTATATTTGGCCGGAAAACCGCAAGTGGCTATCGTTAGAGCACTCCAGTATTTGAATCGGAATAAATCTTTTGTATCTCGTACCATCGCTCGTTACCGTGATACTGGTAGCGTAGCCCGACGTCAAGGAAGTGGACGGAAGAAAACAGCAACATCAGCAGAAATGGTTCGAAAAGTAAAAAAGCATCTTGATCGAAACCCGCGGCGCAGTTGCCAAAAAATGGCTCGTGAGCTGAACATATCGCAATATTCCATTCGGCAAATATTGAAAAATGAACTCGGCGGAAAGCCATTGAAATTCCAAAAAGTGCAAGAACTTACACCGCAACAGAAAGACGACAGAAAATAGACTAAAAAGAGCTAAATAGTTGCTTCGCTTGGCCGAAAGTGGTGAACTGTCGAATTTGATTTTCTCCGATGAGAAAACATTCGTTGTCCAGCAGTTTGTAAACAAACCAAAGAGGTCAGCTGAAAATGTGCACCTTCGGTTGTCCACCAGATCTCAATCGCCGGCCATGGTGATGGTATGGACGGCCATAACAGCCGATGGTCGCTCTCTGCTCGTATTAATCGACCGTGGTATCAGAAAAAATGCTGAATATTATCGCGAAAATATTCTGGAGGGTGTATTTAAGCCTTGGGCACTCAAATATTTGGCCGCAGACCTTGGACATTCAAACTCAACACCATCGCACTCAGCACGAGCACGAGAATGGTTACAAAATGAGGTTCCTCGCTTCATTTTCAGCACACAATGGCCACCGAAATCTTCGGATATTAATCCGTTGGACTATTGTGTCTGGAGTATTTCGGAAAGCAAGGTTGGCACTAAAAAATACCAAAGTGTCGATCACCTCAAGCAAACACTTCACCGGGAATGGGCCAAAATACCGCAGAGCAACATTGGCTGTTTGAAGGCCATAATTCGTGCCAAAAGTGACCAATTCGAACAAATCTAAAAATGTATCAACCAAACCACCGCACAAAAGCTGATCCTATTGCCACATTTTCGACTTCCAACTCAATCTATTAACCAAATACCAAATTTAGTACCATTTAGTACTTTTTTTCCAAAACCACCTCCAAATCCAAACCCTACACACGAACAAATTTCCAATTTCAAGCAATATCAGCATTTATAAACATTCGTGCACATTAGTACAAATTTCGAAAACCACCTCTAGATCCCAATCCCAAACTTCAGCAGTAATCTTAATTGCAAATTTCAGGATTCCAGCTCCATCTCCAAATTCAAATTCACCAAATTAAGTACCATTTAGTACACATAGATATGAATTTCGAAAACATCCTATATACCCCAATCCTATTTGACGAACCAGTAAAATAATAGTAATCTTATTGCTAAATTTTATGATTCTCCAAAAATATAAAGTGTACCAAATTTGTACAGTTTAGTCCTTTTTTAGGCGCATAAGTACGAATTTCGAAAACATTCTACATACTTCAATCCCACAATGCAATAAAAATCTTATTGCCAAAAATTCATGATACCAACTCTGCCCGTTCTCCCAAATTTTAAATTGTACCAAATTTAGTACCATTTAGTACTTTTCGTGCGCATAAGTACAGATTCTCATAAAATCCAATGTTAATTTTATTTCCCAAATCAGGATTCCAGCTCTATCAGTCCCTCTGAAATTTAAATTGTACCAAATTTAGTACCACATAAGTACGATTTTCGAAAACATCCTACATACCTCAATCATACAATGCAATAGTACTCTTATTGCCAAATTTCAAGATTCCAACTCTATAGGCGCCCCTAAAATTTAAATTGTACTAAATTTAGTAAAATTTTGTACATTTAAGTACGAATTTTCAAAACTACTTACATACCTGAACTACCTACAATTTCAGCATTCCAGCTCTTTCGGTTCACTCAAATAGTAATTGCACCAAATTTGTTACCATTTTATTTCCCTTCCCATGCCCATAAGTACAGATTTCGAAAACTACCTCCATATCCCAATCCTAATCTCTGGCAGCAATGTTAAATTCAAATTCAGCTCCATCCGTTCCTCCAAATTCATTTTGTACCTACTTTTTTATCGTTTAGTACTTATTGTATGCAGAAGTAGATACTTCCCAAATGACCTCCTTACTCCTCAACATTGGTTCCCATTCCTACTTCAAGTTTTTAGCTCTAACCTTTCACATTATACGAAATGGTACTAAATATACTAAATAGAGTACATTTTTGTACTTTTCGTTGACTTGTAGTGGGAATTTCCAAAAACCCTTTGCATTCATCATATGTTCCATCAGTGATCCTGATTCCAAATTTGAGAATTCTAGCT